TGTATTAAAACGAGAGCAAAAAAATGTATTTTTATGTTTTTTTTTTTTTTTCCATTTTTTAGAGCCAAAAAAATACTATAACCAGATCAGAAATTATTTTTTTTCTTTTCTGTTCTTTTTTCCATTTAGTTCAGGAATACTGAATAAAACTGACAATTGTCCCATCCTTCTATCAATGTTATAGCAATATAGATACACATTATTTATATAATGCTTCTATCAATTTTCCATTGTTATTAAAATGCTTGATTTTGCTGACTGTTTCCATTCTAACTTGAACATCTGCATTCCGTTTGTTCCAAATTTATGGCTTTTTCTTTTTTTTTTTTGCCCCTAACTATGATGTTGTGCTGAAGAAAAATGATTTTTTAAAGCTTTTTATATCCTTTATTTTCATTTATGGGAGGGAAGAAGAAAAATAGTAAATAAGGAGGCAATTCGATTAGTTTTTGTTCTCGATTCATAGCCACATGGCATTTCTGACAAGTGTCTCTGCTTCCTAGCTCATCCTAGTTTCTGTTAGACCATCCTTGCTCATTTTGAATCTTGAACATCTGTTTTTTTGGCAGACTTTGCTCAATATTTTTGGTGCACTTGATGATTCGGTGCCTTCAAATTATAAGGCCCAACATATCTAAGTATTTGACGAATTTTTATCCATTGGATGATTGATCCTCCATTGTATTGTATATACAAGAAACCAAAATTTTGAAATTCAAGTAACTATGACTTTTCCCAAAGTTGGCCAAAATATGTTTCCATTCATGCATACATTGAAAACGTGGATACTATTAACCTTTAAGGCTTTTGTGTTCTTGATGTTCAACCTGTGTTATTTAAGGATTAACATCCTGATAGTTTAACATCAGTAAACAATTTGACACCAGTGCTGTTGACCAAGGAACTCATTAGCTGCTGAACCTCTCTGAGTTCTTAGATAATTTCGGAGATGCTGTGAGCTCGACAGATTATTTTTGTACCATACATTACAATTTTGGGATATCTACGGTTGTCAACAATAATGCATTGTGAGGGGGAATGTTTGGGGATACCTATGATTCTCAACTGCAATGCGTTGTGAGGATTTTTTTATATCCTGAATTGAATTTTGCTACTTCATAGTCATTAACAGGATGATGGTTAGTTTCAATAAGTCCTAGTATTAGGAGTTAATGCACTTGTATATTTGGACAGGTGGATTGGCTAACTGAGAAGATGCGTAGCAACAAACTTTACTGTCTCTTCTATGCATGGAGATATGCCCCAGAAGGAAAGAGATGCAATAATGGCCGAGTTCCGTGCTGGTGAACCCGTGTTCTGATCACAACAGATGTTTGGGCTCAAGGGTTGGATGTTCAACAGGCAAGTACTTTTATTTATTTACTTTGTTTCCTTATGGTATGCTTATGTTTTATTTTGATCATGGTTTTAATCACGGTATCAGTTGGCGTGTGGGCGTGGGTCATTGTGTATATTATGGGAGTATTGGCCAATGTGTTAATGTGAATCAGAAACCGAACTCGTAATTTTTTAATCACTGGTAAATGCGAAAAAAACTCAATTCATAAGCATGTGCTGAGCCTATTTATCACAATTTTGATATTTGTAATGGTTTATAATCAGCAATTTGGCTCTTGAAAACATGATTTTATAAGCATGTAGGTTATGTTTCTATGTATTACTGTTATCTGTCTGTATATATTAGGGATGTGATGTGGGTGGTCCACAATTTTTTAAATTCATTGTAGCTTATTGTTAATTATTTTGTTTCTCAAGTGCCAGATAGAGAGATGCTTTTGTTTTTTTGTTAATTGTTGGTTGGACTGATGTGAAGAAAAATGCTGTCATCCAATTGGCTTTTGTTAATTGTTGGTTGCAAGCCTTTGAAAAATACCAGTGGATGATGGCTTTGAATTCTCTTCTAACACACACACATGGTTGAAATTGTCACCATTCGCTTCAGATGAAGTGAGTTAGAAAGAAGCATGTTAGTGTATAACCCAGGAGGATACTCAGGTGTTGAGCGTTGGCTAGTGTTGTGAATCCTGTCGAAATGTGTACATAAAAGACATTAACATATATGAATTGAGATAACAATTAAGTATTTTCATCTAATATATAAACATATTGCAAGAATAAAATAATCACATAACCAATGATATGAAAAATTGTCTTTAAGAAACTTAGATATTGGTTAAGAGATAAATATACATTCATTAAAACCCCAAAGTATCCAACTCATTATTAGGAAGAAAATTGAAAATTTAATATAACAAAAGATAAATGACATTTAATTTGGTTCATGATTTGCAACCAAAAATATTCTTCAAGACTTGTTTGGATATGATATGAGTAGTCCCTAACATAGTTGTTCTTGTTATATTGTTTGTTGTCATGGTCTAAACATATATTTTGGCCGAAATCTCGGTGTATACCTAATTAGATTCATGAGAGAGTAGTTCAATTTGTTGTAGCAAAGGGAGTATGATAGTCATTTTGCTTGTGAGTTTATTTGGGTTGGGTTTTCTGTGAATATGGTTCATTACTGTTCAATGAGTGTTGGCCATGGTGATAGATAGTGAAAAAAAGGTCATGAACAGGGCCAAGAGTGAAGAAAGTAAAGATTAATCATGCATTACGAATCATATGTACGCAAATGTATCTCATGATTCAATTCGCTGACGATACTAATTCGTGATGTGTATATTTTTTTCATATGATAAGAGTAATGTATCATACGATTCTGACAACACTGGTGGTGGCTCTCTTATTCTTCTGTGACAAAAAACTAATATATTACCCAAAAGATTGATATTGAGATTCTCTTCATTCTTTAATAAAAAGAGAAGGCAATTACAGTTTTTCGCCACATCTCAGTTTTGGGATGTCAAAAGGTTTGTGACTCTCTGGTGCTCTTCTTCCCTTTTCAAATAATGCAGGACCTGAGGATGGAGAAGAAGTCATCAGAACCTATATGTTCCTGACAGCAGTAATAATAGCTCCAATGGAGGGAAGAATGGATGGAATAGTTCTGCTTCTGTGTATTACAGTGGAAGAAGAGGCACCTCTGATTCCTCCCTTGAGAGTGTCTCATCTTGGGAGAAGCAGCTTGGCAGTCACTCGGAATGACTGATGATAGTTTGGAGATGATCTTTTGCAGCATTCACTTGTAGTTAACTTTAGCCAATTTATTTGTCAGAAGCAAAGAGCTAAACTGAATTAATCAGAGGAAAAGGTTTGAACTTTGAAGTATACAACCCTGTTCTTTTTTTCTTCTTCCTGAAGATTGACAATTTTTTGTAGAGAATCTTGCTAGATCATAATTTGTGCTGTGACTCATTGTGAAAACTTAAAATTGTTAGTTTTAGCATGCTATGAAATATCAGTTGCTTCTCTGATAGGCCATTTTTGTTTTGTTGAAGAGTCTTATTGATCGTTAGTGAATTGTGTTGATGCAATGTAATCAGAAGGACTGCTGCATGGAGACCTATCTGTTCGTAATCTCTCCAGTTACAGACTGGTGCATTTTTGGTCTGCCCTTGAGGTAAAAAGGATAGAGAAACTTAATATTCTAATCCATGGTTGGCCAAAGGCTGTCCGTCGCACATGGTTTGTTCTTTACGTAGAAGAGAAACATAAAAAGACCTATGATATTATTGCTGTGGAAATTGTCCAAGGTGGGGATATGATTGAAATTTATTTTGTTACAATATACAATGAGCCTGCTTGCCTGTATTGGAGTTTGAAGTTGCTCGGCTGGAGTATACATTGTAACTAAACTGCCTGTATTATTCTTTGTTTTTGTTTTTGTTTTAGTATTATTATTATTAAAGAAAAAAGCAGTTACTGTTGGCACAATTCTTTGAGAAGGATCTCTCTTTTTTCTCGTTGAAATGGGATGGCAGTGATAATTAATGCAATGAGGATGATAAGCATTGAGCAGAGCAGCACATTATCAACAATGTAAGGATGGCTCTTGCTGCGTCTACACCCGCCCACCCACCCACTTAGGATTTGTGGATTATATAAAAATAAAATAAAAATTAGTCTTGAATTTTATTTTTTTCTCTTGACAATTTCTTTCAAATAGTTTTATTTTATTATTTCAAATTAAACTGCATTAAATTTTCAAGTCACGTGTATATGTTTTTGCAGGTTTTGTTGAGGGAGTAGTTGATATAATCGAGCGGCTGATGTTTGGGAGCCAAAGTGAGATTATGTTGCTCCTTTCTTTTTCTTTTCTTTTCTTCTTTTTTTTTTTCTTTTTCTTTTTTCTTCTTTTTTTTTTTTTTTTGAAGGACTTGAATCTTTTAGCACAATATATTTTAAGAATGGTTGATGGATATTTCTTTTGCATGTATGAAAGTTTATATTTTGTTTGCACACTTATATGTGAATGTATTTCTATTATGAGTTTAAATTAATTGTTAATTTGTTATTTTTTATTAAAAAAAATTGTTAGGTGTTTGCAATTGATTTTGTTGTAATAAACGTATATATGATTTTATTATAAAAATTATTATTTCGACCGTAAAAAAGAAGTCGCTAAAATGTTTTTGATTTTTTTTTTTTTTTTTTTTTGTTGTTGCGACGGCAAAATAGCTGTTGCAAAAAGTAGGTTAGGCAGTCGCAAATAGTTTGCGACTGTTATTTTGCGGTCGCAAAAAGTATTTGCCACCCCACATTCGCGACCCTCATTTGCCGTCGCATGGGCTCGCAAAAAGTCTTTTGCGACTGTTTTTTATTATTTGCGACGGCTTGTTAGCGGTCCGCAAAAAGTACTTTTTTTAGTAGTGGTTAAAAACTGATTTGGGAAGGGTTTTAGGTTTTTTTGGTTTTTTAATTTTTTTTTATGAGAGAAAGAATGTAATAATTATGAATTAGATGTAATATCTTATCTTATTAGACTAAAAATATATTTTATTTTTTTTGATTAAAATAGCCTCAAAAATCGCTACTTTTACTTCCTAAACAAAAGCCTAATATAATTAAATTTTCAAACGAAGCCAATATAAAAGAATACAAGAACTTTTAGATTAATTATTTGGAGAAAATATAAAAAAGTACAAAACTTTTGGAAGGGAAATTCCGTACAACCTTGGGAATAAAAAATTATTAGTACTAGTTCAAATTACTAAGTACAAATAAAATATTAGAATATCAATATTAAAAAAAATTATTGAAAATAAAAAATAGGAAAAATAAAAATATTTTAAAAAGAAATATTTTCTAAAATCAAAGCCAAACAAATTGATTACTTTTAACAAAAATTGTTGCAGTGAGTAATATAAAACACAATAATGACAGAGAGCTCTAATTTTGGAGCTCTAAAGAGTGCACTAATGATGTGATAATAGAAAAAAATATAAACATAAGCACCACATATCACATCACATGTGGGCCCCACTCATTACCACACCACTAAAACTCTCTTTAGAATTCTAAAATTAGAAACTCTCAATCTTTATTCATATAACAAATACATCTAATTATTGGAGAAGGAAGCGTCAAAAGACCAAACCTTTAATGCCATACAAATTTATCAAATTTTATAATTTTTATACTTTATTATTTATTTTTATTTTTTTTATACTCATTTATGTAACACTTACATTATTATTAAAGTGAATCACGCATAATTAGATTCATTGTACCTATTTATAGAATTGACATTTGTGCTCCTATTAGAGCATTTTTAATGTTTATTATTGGAGCTATCAAATGTATAATATAATAGCTAGAGTAGAAAATCAGTACTCCATGGTGAATATGATAGCTGTCAAATTTGACAAATGTCAAACTTGTGTCAAATTTGACACTAGCTTTGACAGTTGTCAATTGTGCCAACTTAGCCACATATAACCGTTTCTTCTCCCTCCCTTTCCAGCAAAACAAATTTGACAAACAAAATTCAATAAATCTCAACAAGTAATTTCATAACTTCAATATCAAAATCTTAGAATATGAAGAAAACTTAAATAATAAATACTTGGATTTGCCATTTGTTGTTCATTACCAACAGATTTCAACAATCATCTCTTGTCTTCATTTTCTTTGTGACCAACTTCATTTTCTCCATTTTTTGTGACGGCTAGATTTTTAGGGCTACGACTTTATGATCTAATACTGCCGATTTTTGGTAGAGAAGAGGGTTAGGGCTTTTAGGACTGTGTGATATGTGAGGTAGAGAAAGATTTAGGTTAAGGAGAAGAGATATAGAAAGAGAGAGAGAGAGAGAAAAACAAAGAGAGGGAAAGAGAGAAAGGAAGACGATGGTGAGAACATAGAGAGGGTGAGAGAGAGAGAGAGAGAAAGGAGAGAGACGATCGGTGAAAAAAGGAGAAACAGA